AAAGGATTCAAACATACCATCATGAAGATGGTACAGGACCAGGCAGTGTTTCATTCTGTTTTACATAAGGTCAGTGTGAGTTGAAGCCAACGCGACAGCAGCAACAACAAATAAGGGGGTAGTGGTATCTCATTGTGGTTTTAATTTGCATTTTCCTAATGATTAATGATGTTGACCATTGTTATGAATTGACCTGTGTCCCCCAAAAATAACGTGTGTCAACTTGGCTAAGGCATGATTCCCGGTATTGTGTGACTGTCTACCATTTTGTCATCTGATGTGATTTTCCTATGTGTTGTAAATCTTACCTCTTTGATATTAATGAGGTGGGACTCAATCTACAAGATTAGGTTGTGTCTTCAGTCAAACTCTTGGGAGACATAAAAGAGAGAAGCAAGCAGAGAGACAGGGGGACCTCATATCACCAAGAAACAAGAGCCAGGCGAATAGCACATCCTTTGGACCCAGGGTCCCTGTGCTAAGAAGCTCCTCAACTGGGGAAGATTGATGACAAGGACCTTCCTCCAGGGCCGACGGAGAGAGAAAGCCCTCGCCTGGAGCTGGCATCCTGAATTCGGACTTCTAGTCTCCTAAAATGTGAGAGAATGAATTTCTCTTTATTAAAGCCATCCAATCATGGTATTTCTGTTATAGCAACACTAGATAACTAAGACAACCATCTTTTCATGTACTTATGTGCCATCCATATATTTTCATTCGTGAAGTAGCCAAATTTTTTGTCCATGTTTTTATTGGGTGGTTGTTTTCTTATTACCGAGTTTTGAGAGTTCTTTATACATTTTAGATACAAGTCCTCTACCACTCAAGTGTTTTCCAAATATTTTCTTTCACTCTGTGGCTTGCCCTTTCATTTTAACAGTGTATTTCAAAGAGTAGAAGTTATAAATTTATCAATTTTTTAAAAAATTTTATGCAATGTGCTTTTTGTGTCATATCTAAGAAAACTTTTCCTAATCCAAAGTCACAATAGCTCCTCTATTAACTTAGTAGCTATACTTCATTGTTTTTTAATGTTGCTTTAGGGTTTACAATATACATCTTTAACTTATCACAATCTACCTTAAAATAATACTACATCATTTCATATATAATATAAAACCCTTAAAACTCTACACTAAGTATACAGAAAGGCCTGGCAATCTGCTTCTGAAAAGTCACACCCACTGAAAACCTATGGAGTGCAGTTCTCTGAAACACATGGGGTTGCCATGAGTCTGAATTGACTAGACAGTAATTATTAATATTTTTATCAGCAAAAATATTTTCATGTGTATAGTAAAAATCTACTGAATTTTTAATCAAATGGCAATGCATCTCTGGACACTGCATATGTTTTTCTCCTAAAGTAATATTATAAATTTGCACTCTTATTCAGAGAAATAAATGTTTCTGCAAGAACTGAAGTACTATTAGGGCAGAAACAGATACAAGTGTTATATATATTATTTATCTGTTTCTTGGGTTAGAAGATTACAAAGGAATACTTTTAGACTGTTTTTCCATCTTGTTCTTTAAACAACAACAAAAAAAATGAAATGACTCTGGGTAATTGGCCATCTGTTCTGCTGCAAGTATACTAAATAATCACTTTTTACTTGAGAGCTGGGAATGTTTGTTCTAGCCTTTGAAACTTGAAGGGAATCATCCGGCCAGCCTGCTACTCCACTGCAATTGTGCAGTGCCAAAGGGAAGAAGAAGAGGCTGTGCATACACTGAACTCAGAACCCAGCTCCCACTCCTACCTGCTTCCCTCTGACCCATCACATACAAGCCTGCAGTGGCTTCAAGTTCCCTTCTGTCTATATGCTATCTCCAGGGCAGTATGGTAAAAGATTAATAGCTGAACAAATAGAAAACACTTGTTCATTCTAACTTATCTTTTTTCTCTTACCCATGCTTCCTTTCTTCATGGCAGGTTTTATTTTACTTACTAGATGTAAGTATAAAAACAGAATAACCAGGAGGGTGAGAATGGATGCACAACTTGAAGAATGCAGTCAATGTCACTGAATTGTACATGTAGGAATTGTTGAATTGGTGTATGTTCTGCTGTGTATATCACATATAACAATAAAAAATAAACTAAATTAGTAAAAAAAGAAATTACAAGGTAAATATTAAATTGCTTTGGATATTAAAAAAACAACAGAATAACCAATAATGCACTTTACCTAAAACTACTAGTTATGTCTATAAAAACCACCTCGATGTCTTGAAATGTGTGTTTGAGAAGCTTTATGACTATTTACCCACCATTTGTCTGTCCGTTTGTCATACTTTGGTGGTTTGCATGTTGCTGTGATGCTGGAAGCTTTGCCACCAGTATTTCAATACCAGTAGGGTCACTCATGGAAGACAGGTTTCAGCAGAGCTTCCCCTCTAAGACAGCAAAAACCTTATGAATAGCAGCAGAACATTGTCTGATAGAGTGCTAGAAGATAAGCTCCTCAAGTTGGAAAAAATAATTCAAAAATCTAAATACCAGAATGAGAAAACAGACTGCCCAGAAAGATCTGAGAAAACATTGTTGTTTTTAGGATGTCAATTCTGGGTTGAAATATAAATAAAATGATTATTCATGGTGAAGAGTCACAGTGCAGGAGTTTGTGCAGGCTGGTAATAGTCCTCTACACGCGCCAGGCTGATAATGAGGGGTATATCTCACTCAGATATCCCCCTCCAGGACACACCTTTTTTTTGTTAATGAGGAAAAAATAATAGAAGATGATGTTTCAAAGGTTTTAAAACACAAGAATTTATAATACATAATGCCCCACCGCCCAGAAAATGACAATGCACACCTTCTTTATGTTGATTTGCATTAGAGGCCTGGCACTGTTAGCACAACTCTCTGGCTAACATTGGCAGGCCCTCTTTACCCACTCTTTTGGTATCCTTGTGGAAAATAATAAAATAATACTCGGACATTATTACAATAAGAGGTATAATTAGCAGTCATTTTGTAGAACAGAGTATTGATGCCACAAACCAATTTTCTGAAATGTGCCTCTAAAGCAACACCTGCAGCATTCATGTTTATAAATCAGGTAATTGTACATCTAGTCACTTGTGTGTATATATAATTAGTCTGATTTACATATGTAAGTCAATTATCTGATATACAGTTCCCCAATTTCTCACTTTTGTTATTTTTTCATACTTTGTAAGTTCAGATAGAGCAAATTTTTAAAATGCTATATTATTATACTGTCATTTACTCTTCTTTCTCAAGCCGTTTAGGGATATTGCCAGTACATCTTTCTGATAATAAAATATAAGGACAAAGTTCGAAGGAGCCGTTAAGTCCCTACTGATTCATTATACCAGAACACTGCTTCACTTGTACAGATGTTCTGAAACTATTTTAATCAATCTTTTCAGCTCTCTCAAAAGAACATATAACTATGATCAGGAGTCTCCAATGCTAACCTAATTCCAAGTGATAATACTGAGAAATGTCAATATAATAAGATTAAGGATTTGGTAGGCATAAAAGAAAATGACTGATCTCAGTCTTTTTTTTTTTATTTTTTTAACCTCTGGGCAAAGATTTATAACTTGATTACTTGCCCATTTAGCCCTACAATAGGCAGAATACCTGAATTCCCATTTAAATGTTAATCTGCCAATGATTCTACACAGAAAAATGCATTATTGAAAATGTTTTGAAAGATACAAAGGTTCAAAATTTTACTCAAGAATACATCAAGCATTTGGTCAGCATTATACCTTAAGTATATAAACACAAACATGAAGTAGACTCTTTAAAATTCTCCAGTAACTTAAGGCAAAGTGATTTAAGTTCATAACTTATATCCTATTACTTGAATAATTAAGTTTAAATCAATAAATTTTAAATTTCTTTTAATATGTGATTTAAATTTAAAAATATAAAGCTATTCTAAACTTAATTTTAGAATCATTTAAGACTCTGGGTAGAAAAAATCTAAATATAAAATATGGAAACAATATAATTTATAAATGATTATTATGCCACTGCAGGAAAACCAATGGAACATTCAAAAAAGAGAGAAAAAAAGTCAAATGCTCATAAAATAATGAAAACACAATAAATATATGCTGTTATGTTGGTCTAATAAAAGTGTTTACCAGCACTGAATTTGGTAAGAGGAACTCTTAATAATTCTTATAAATTTTATTAGAACAAATTGTTACCACGTCAGAAAAATTACATTCTTCTAGGACTCAGTTACTTTAGTTAACCTTCTAGAAACTCTGGCTTACAGAGAATTGTCCAAATGCAAGAAAATCTACTCTCAGGACTTGAAAAAACAGACTGTATAGCTTCCTACTAGAAACTTATTCAATATTCAACATCATTTTTAGTAAGTCTTTTCCTTGTATCTGTGGATACCTTATTCTGTTGTTTAAGCCTTTAATATCCGATGAAGACAAAAAAAGAAAAATGCTGATCATCATTTTTAAAAACCTCACTGACATCAATTTTATATTCTAGCAACTGGCACAGAGCCTTAGTCTCATGTTAGTTGAACAAATTATGGATGAATAAATAAACATTATAATGAAGTCCTTTTATAGCATATTCTTCTGCAGGAAAAAATAATCCCAGTTGCTTTAGTTTTTTATTGTAGAGTCGTTTCCTTTTAATCTTTTATCATCTTTATGTCTTTCCTTTAATTTCCTGATGTTTATCTTAAGATGACAAGGCCAGAACTGGCTGCGACATTCTATTGAGGATATGACCTGTCAGGAGCATGCTAGAAGAATTGTTTTATGTGTCTGTAAATTCTAGCAGAGTCCCTGGGTGTTGCAAACAGTTAATGCATTCGGCTGCTAACCAAAAAGCTGGAGGTCCAACTCCACTCAGAATCAGAATCGACTGACGGCAACTGGTTATAAATTCTAACAGAAAAATGGTTGCTTCAGGAATTACTCTACAAAAATATTAAGACCACTTTGCAAATTTCCACACATACAAATGATGTTGAAACACTTACCTCAAGAACCAACCACAGCTTATCCCCGTTTACTTTATCCTTCTTAAAGTACATCCCATAGAACCTGACCACATTAGGGTGGTCAGAAAGTGTTTTTAAAATGTTATACTCTGCTTTGATCTCTTCATCAATATCCTAGATTTAAAAAGTCATAAAAAAAGAAATGTGAGAAAAATGTGAATAATGTCAAAGACACTTATTATAGACCACCAAATATAAAATTTAGTTTTTTTAAAGCAAGGTCATAGTAGTTTTTACTGTGCTCAGTATTACGTATTAAAATTTCACATTACATTGTTTAAAGGAGAGATGGAGGTTTTTGTGCTAATCAGATGCATCTCAAATTATGTTAATTTCATTGAATTGAAAAGGGATCAATAAATGGGTAGTATAAAGGCTATTTCTGTATTCAATTAAGGAGAAACACATGTGGAATGGAGAACTACCCCCGATGATTTTGATTTCTTTGTAGTGTTAATTTAGTTACAATGGCCAAGCTATTGATTGGAAATGGAAACTTTGAGGATCAAGAAGCTGGTTCATTTTGTTTCTTTGAAATACTGAATATTTGGAAGCTATCAAGAACTAGTTATATGTGCCATAAATTCTGACTTCTGAAAAAAAGTTTAAGGTAGAGTTAAATTATATAAAATGACACATAGTCTTTAGTTAGCTAAAAACCCATTCACCAAAAGTAGAACAGATTGCTATCTTGCCTTTAAAAATGCAATATAGTCACTTAGTCATGTCTCAGGAAAACCACATATACATGAAATGACTCAGAAAACAATAAATTTAAAAAAGCCTTATTAATATTGCTCTTACAGTGACATTTAGAGTCTAAGTTGTTTTAATACAGAATCATGGAATCACAAAGCTAGAATTTTAGATCAGCACTTACATTTTTTAAAGGAAGAAAGCCAAGCTTAGAGAAATTAAAAGAGTCATAGAGTTGGTTAGTCAAAGATAAAGGATTAAACATCAAACCCACTGACTTCTATTCCTCTCATTTTACCCCTCTCGAAGAGAAAATTATTAGCTCAAAATCCAAAGTAATAAGACTCCTTTAATAAAAAAGCTACTTTTTTTGAAATGCTTGGATGCAGTTAAATTTACTTTATTAAGATTATAATCTCTTGCTGTCAGTCTTTTTTATTTTACTCGTGACATGATAAATGAACAGTAAATAAATAATTCTTAGAAAATCATATATGTGCTGTGACAAGAATAAAAGCAGCAAAAGAACATATTTAATGCTATAGTTATGAAATCAATGTCTTCCATTAAAACAATAGATGAAACATGATTTTTAAGGTTTGTAGTATTCCATGCAGCAGTAAATTATAAAAGAATACTGGTTACATGTATTCATAAACTATTTGTTCTTCTGGAGTCCTTTCTCTTGCCTCCATGAACCCGAACCCCTAAAAGGAGAGATTAGACTTAAAAGGCACAGTTTGGCAGATCTTAACTTGTGCCTCTCTTCCCGCATTTACAATGGTAAGACATTTCCAATAGAGGAATGTGATGACATTCAGCATCAGTTAAGCCTAAGCATAGTGCTTCTCACTTTTCTTTCCTCCATTGTATCTTATTTATTACTTTAAAATAATTCCCTCAAAATAATGTGGGACATTGTACATATGCTTTTATGAAAAATAAACTAACTATCAAAAGTTGAATAAACTGAGGCCCAGAGACCTTTCTCGGTCCTCCAGTGTGTTAGTGGAATTGCTGCGGCAAGCACCCAGGGCTTCCATGTCCTCCCTGCACACAGTATTTTCATCAGGCTGGGCTTCTCCCACACGTGCAGGAGTCAAGTATTCGGAGAACTTATTCTCAATAAATGTTTTGCAATTATGTGATAACATAGCTTATTCTGGCTCACCCAGGTTCTATGGGAGGACTATGTATTTCCCTTTATTCGGAAGATGTTCCAGAAGCTACCAGCTCTTATTCCCAGAAAACAGAATATCAGCAGTGTCCTCATGCTCTTAAGGGAAAAGAAAAGGCTTAGTAGTTTCCATTATCACAACTGCTACCCCCCAAAAAGCAATGGCGAGATCCCACTGGGGTCTCACTTAGGCAGATGCCTGGGGGACTGAACAGGAAATTCAGTTAATCACAGCAAGGAACCTCACCCTGACTATAAATCGATACCATTTCTGCTTTGGAAACATTTATGCAAACCTGAAAATGGATTTCACTTCTCTGAAAGAAATTTAATTAAAAAAAAAATATTTCTGGTATGGCTTAAGAGACATTCTGCCTGAAGCCTAAATACGTGCAGCAAGAAAGGAAACTGGGTCAAGATGACATTTTAGGATTACTTCTAGACCCGTGAATCTGTATGCTTACAATTTTATGAAATCTAAAATGATATTCAATCAACTGTTGAGCTATTGAGAGATGCATTTATTTATGTGTTTATGCATTTATTTACTGATTTATCAAGCACTTATTGGCCCTATTATATATGTTAAATATATAAACCAGGAAAATCTAACAAGTAGACATTCTTTTCTTTTTGCATTTTTTTCAAATTATAACTTGTCTTAGAATGACCTTTGAGTAATAAATCAAGATAAGATATTACAAACTTTTTAACAAATTAACACAGATAAAACAATTAAGGAAAAAAGTATGGAACTCACATGAATTGGATCGAGAATTTTGACTGCTGCTTTTTGGCCATTTTTCTTATTCAGCACTTTAAAAACTTTCCCATAAGTTCCTTTGCCGATTGTTTCAGTGATTTCCCATGTATCAGAGGGATCAGGAAAGTTATCAAAGGTAATTGTTTTTCCAATCAATGGAAGCATCTCGAAGGTTTAAATCACTGGAGAGAAAAAATACAGAGTTTCATCTACATTTCATTGAGGATATTAGATGATATGTATATATTCATGGAAAAATATCTTAATATTTACACTGATATGATGGAAAATATATCACAGTAACCAAGAGTACTTCAGAGTCATAGAAAATTTTAATTTAGATTCTTTTTTTGAAAAACAAATTAATATGCATTTAATAGTGCTTTGTAACTTATTCCTATGTTTAAAATAAACTTATTAAGTAACTAATAATTTTTTCAGATTAAAATAAGAGGCACCTTTAAATCATTCTGATTTACTTCTTTACACTCAGTTATAAAGCATATAGAGTCAAATAATTTTAGAATGAATCTTAAAGATGATAAAATTCAACTTCCCCATCAAAGCAAATCCCACACTTTATAAGTGACCAAGTCTTCTGTCACTTCTCTATGTAAAACTCAACAATGCTTTTAGGATGAGATTTCCTTAACATAACCTACCAGGTCAATTAGAATATGGCCCTTCCTTACTTGCCTTCCCTCATCTCTCTTCTCTCATACACTGTGATCCAATAACCCTGGATCTTTCAGTTCCTATCTTTCTTGCTTGAGGGTCTTAATACATGCTGTCCACTCCCACCTCAGTCTCTGGCTTCTTTGCTAAATTCTAACTCCTACTTATTTTTGGATCTCAGCTTAGATGTTACTTATTCCAAATGTGACCACTCTCCACCACTTTTGGGTTGCACACTGCATCTCGATGCTCCGACAGAATGCCATATCCACCGTTATCTGATGCCATTGCTGTATGTCCACTGCCTGGCACAGTGCTGAATTAATTAATTAATAAAATGTGGTCAAAGAGGTTAAGTGACTTTCTAAAGGAGGATATCTATCTATCTATCTTTCTATCTATCTATTGCAATAAGATCCCAGGTTTTTTGACTTCCAATTAGTGCTCTTACTCTTCTAAGTTCTTTGGGCTCCCAGCACTTCTGGTGGCCCTTGCAGTTTTTCAATATCTATGTAAAAACACATTCTTTTCAATGTTAAAAAGTTGATTGTAGTTGGATTTGTATGTGTATGCGCACACATAGAAACAGATCTATTAATAGATATGTGTTAATATTAGCCCATGAAATTCACCTATCTGACCACACTAACAACTATTCTGCTTCATCCACACCACCAACACATTGATTTCCCCCCTTCCTTTATATCTGTCAGCCTTCTTTGATCTTCATTCCCTCCTTCTCTGACATAGATTACATTGTTTGTATTATTATAACTCCCTTGCACACACCCTCAACACCTGTGTTCTCTTTATCCACCACACTGTCCCGGAGAAAAACCAATAATGCTGGTTAAACCCTACGTCTTCTTCACACCTGTGACTATCGCTGGAAAAAAACCACATCACATTGAATAGTTTCACTCTAAATTCAGGACAACAAACCTACAAGTAGACCCTCAACATTGCCTAACAGGTCAACTGCACTTCCTTGGTTTGTATATTCCACTGTCTCATAACTATTTCACAATTTTCTCTCTCCTCAAATTTTTCTCTGTTTGCTATCTACCTCCCTCCCACAAAACTTCCTAGCTGATGCCCTCACTTCATAATTAATTGAGAAAATGGAAGCAATAGTAAATTCCTTAATCTCCTCACCTTCAAAACTACAAACCAGTGCACATAAACGTGGAAAATTCATTCCTACCATCAGTAATTGCTGTTTGGCCTCAATTAGTCTTTTTCTTTGATTGACTGGTTGCTTCTAATCCTTCCAATCTCAGCTCAAATAGCACTTCCTCAGAAAGGCCTTTCCTGACCAACCTACGTAAAGTTAACCATACCTATTTACTCCGTTACTCCTCCATTAGAATGTAAGATCCATAAGGATACATTGTTATTTTTGCTACTGTATCCACAATTCCCAGAACAATGCCTGGCACATAGTAGGCAATCAGTAAATGTTGGTTAAATGAGCAAATGTTTATTTATTTGTTTACCTGTTAATTCTATTGGCAGAGACTTTATCTTGTTCATTTCTAAATCTACCCAATGCCTAACTCTGTGCCTGATATAAAACCAAAAACCAAACCTGTTGCTGACGAATCGATTCCTACTCATAGCAATCCTACAGGAGACAGTAGAACTGCCCCATAGGGTTTCCAAGGAGTGGCTGGTGGACTTGAACTGCTGGCCTTTTGGTTAGCAGCCATAGCTCTTAATCACTGCCAACAGGCTCCTATGTTAAATATACAGCTGTTGATTAAATAAATAAATACAGTTCTTAAAAAAATTATTTTTAAGGAGGGGAAATAAGAATTAGGGAAAACTGAAAAGAATTTGAAAATTCAAAATAAAATAAAGATCATGTTCTGAATCATTATACTTAAGGGCGCATCATCTAGTAAATGGATATGAATGCCTGAAAAAATTACATGATTGCATTAAAAAACACTTATGAGTAGCCCTTAGAACACTTAATCTTTATGAAAATTTTGCCTTTGATACAAAATGCAAAGGAACAAGTAAGAGATAATCAGAAATAATCATCCTCTTTAACAATTTCATAATCAGTGACAAGATAACTACTTCTTAGATCTACTTGAGTCATGCAAATAAGCATTTATGCCATCCTTATGACATAAAGGTTAGACCAAAAGACCAAATTAAATCTTGTTAAATGCTTGAAATAGGAGTCTGTAACCAGGAGAAAGATTCATTTTATGGAATAATGCCTTTCAAGTGGTAATGTAAGTGAACAAAATTTTAATTTCTGATACACTAATGGATAGGAATTAACTGTTGGTTTTTAAATATACAGGCATAAAAATTTAATTAAAAATTATTGAACATCAAGCGTGTGCAAAATACTCTGATGAGTTTTGAGGATACAAAGATTGACAATTCATGGATAGATGAATATAGCTGTATTATGAAAAATGATAGAAAATAGAAATATGCATAAAGAGGATTAGTAACCCAGGTGAAGGAGGAATTATATCTAAAGTGATCAGGAAAAGATATATACAATAAATAATATTTGAGCTGGAAACTAAAAATGATCAGGAGTTTGTCTAAAAAACAATATACTTTTTTAAAAAGTTTTCAATCAGACACAAATATTTAAAGCAGAGCATTGCTATATTGTAAAATATCTTAAACCAATAATCACAGAATTACAAGAACACAGGCATTTGGAAACAGAATGCATCTAGTCAAATCCCATTTAAAACAAAGTCCAAACAAACAGTAAAACGTACCCTAAAAAGACTTCCTCAAAATCATACAGAAACATATTTCAAGAATTAGTCTAGACGGAAGTCTTCCGACTCCTAGACTATACTCTTTCCACTATACAGTTGCTTATTCTTTAAGAATAAAATAAAATGTTACAGTTAGTAAACAACTAATTATTTAATGACTATGGTAAGTTGCATTCTACATAGCAATGAATGTTCTTCTTTATCTAGTCCTTGAGCACTGCAGGATATAAAATATTTATTTAGCTCACACGATCATGAAATTCGAGACATATATTAAGTTCTCAATTATATGATCATGTAAGCCAAATAATTGTTTTTGCATATGCATTTATCGTATTTTAAAGTATTGCATTTACTATAATTCTGAAAAGATACTTAAAAAGCTACATTTTAAAGATGAAGAATCATATTTTTATATTGATTTTATTATATATTGAGCAGGGTTTTTTTTGTTTTCTTTCCTGATAGAAAAAAAGACCATAACATAATGAGAAAAGTACCTACTTCAGAATCTTAGTATTCATTTCAATAATTATTCTGCCTGTTTTTGTAAACCTGCACTTAATTCTTCTTTAATAAAAAAAGCAAATTGACCCCGAGAGTATGGCCCCCAGATACCCTTGTAGCTCAGTGGAGAAGACATCTCCGAGGTTCACCGTTCAGCCGGGGAGTGGACAGCCCTATAAAACCAAATGGGACTAATGAGGTACAGCAGTCCAGGGACAAGGGCCAGAAGGCAGAAGGGGACAAGGAAGCTGGTGACAGGGAACCCAAGGTTGAGTAAGGATACTGTTGATGTGTTGTGAGGTTGTTAACCATTATCATAGGGCAACATGTGTACTAACTGTTAAATGAGAAACTATTTTGTTCTGTAAGCCTTCATCTAAAGTGAGAATAGCAGCACAATTGGAATATCATAGTCGATGTCACTGAACTGTGCATATAGAAATTTTTGAAATGGTGTATCTTTGGCTATATTGAGAAGGGAGAGGGTTGACATGTTGTGGGGTTGTTAACCAATGTCATAAAACAATATGTGTACTACTGTTTCATGAGAAACTATTTGTTCTGTAAGCCTTCACCTGAAGTACAATAAACAAAAAAAAGAAAAAAAAAAAAGCAAATTGCCTTTATGCTTCTTCTAAAACACAGCAGGGAGGATCCCACTGTAGAATACTCCTTCTGCCTGGAATGCTTGTTCTCCTTATATCCAATCGCATGGCTCATTTGCTCACTTACTTCAAGTCTTAGATAAGCTGTCACCTTTCCAAGAGTCCCACCCTGATCATCCTATTTAAAATCGCAATCTGGAGTTTCTAGAAACAGAAATTTCAGGGTGGGACTGAAAGCTATGTTTAGGAAAATGGCATCAGAAGTGGGACCCCGAAGACATCTTCCCATGACCTGGAATCCTTGGAGGAAATCAGGAGCTGGGCCCATACCATAAACCGTTTCTTTTTGCTCCCTGCTTCTCTCCAGTCAAGGAGCTCTGGTGATGCAGTAGTTAAGCACTTGCCTGCTAACCAAAAGGTCATCAGTTCAAACCCACCAGCCGCTCCATGGGAGAAAGATGTGGCAGTCTGCTTCCATAAAAATTTGCAGACTTGGAAACCCTATGGGACAGTTCTACTCTGTCCGGTATGTTCACTATGAGTCAGAATCAACTCTACTGCAGTAGGTTTGGTTTGGGTTTGGTCTCTCTAGTGTTTTTGGGGCTGGAATAGTTTCTACTTTGCTGA